TAGCAGCAGAGGCCCTAGACAGCAATGGGTGGAATAGGGACGGCGCCCTTCCGCCCGTTGGTAACCTGCGCGCCCGTGTGTGCTTCTCCATGATCCGCGATGACATATTTGAGATTGCTCTGGCAGTCAGACCCGTGGTAGTCCCAGCGCTACAGACTCTCATGTACGTATGATCTCGTGGCTCTTCAGAGTACGATGCTGACCGATTTTCAGGGGAATCAAAGAGCGACAGCTGCAGGCTTATGCTCAGCTGCCGTCAGCGATGCGTTTAAACACCGCGGAAGTCAAGAATTCGACGCTGAACGACGGTACACTCTATACACTGATGGTCGTGCACCTGGAGCACCTGCAAAATCTATTCTTCGTCGAACAAATGCTCTTTCGTGGGGGCCATACGAACAACGATGACCTGTTGCGAGTTAGCTTCGAGATGGTGTCGACTGCCGTCATGTTCTGGACCAACATGGATCGGTTTACCCCGTTGCATTGGGACTTCATGTGGCTGGTGAGCTCAACCTTCTCTGTACGGTTTGTGAACCCTCTCTTGTGATTCTGACTTTGATTGCAGGTAATGGCGTACGCCGCTCCGGGCGGAGGTGTTCTCTGCCTAGAGCTTCTCAGGCCTACACCCGCCGGTGAACCTCAACACCCCAAACCCTCCCGCTCCAACATCATCCAACAGCTCAGTCTGCTGGTCGGTTTCCTGTCCTGGGTCAAGCCCTCCGCTCCGAACGCAGACCTCTGCGCCGACTGCAAAGTCGTGATCCAGCACGTACTCGACCACGCACTGAATGACACGGGCGGCGTAAGCAACGTCCTTCCCGTAGACATCTCAAGCTGGGACGTGTCTGCGCAGCTAGACTTCAACTTTGATCTCATGGACACATTTGACTGGCTGCGACCGGACTTTACCTGAATGCTGCCGTGTCCCGGATGTGGCGGCTCAAATCTCGGAGGATATGCCGGGAGTGGCCCCCCACAATTCCGACCGGCAACACCTTTTCGGCCGGCGCTGGCATCGGCGCCCCCAAAACAGGCAGGAGCGGAAGGTCCCTACAGCGAGTTGTCTCACCAGCGGAAATTACTTTCCACTCCTACGTAGGCAGAAAAAGCCAAGCGACAGTTTCTGCTTTATCCCTTTAATCACTCAACTGAGTTGTCGAATGTCAAGCTTCGTTGCCAACGAGGCCACCAGTCACTCATCTCGTTCAAAGATTCAAAGCCGAGTCTTCATCGCAAGCTCGCAATCGGTTGGAGCTGTAGCTGTCTCACTACAACATTGCAATCTCCCGTCTCGGCAAGACATTCCCCTAAAGAACGCGTTTACAGCGTGGCTCAACCGCTGTAAAGGCCCCTGACTCGCTCCACCAGCGGTACCTGGTGTCGTTGATTGGGCGCTATTAAAAGGAGCACTATCCGGGAAGCAACAGTACGACGCGTCAAAGCCCCGCAATCAGGGGCATGTCAAAATCTTTCCAGTGCCGAAGCTGTGCCTTACAAGGCGACGTATCTCTTTCTTTGAGTTATCGTAAACTTGGATTTCTTTTTCGTATCCGGTTGAAGAACAATCCTCTTTGGACATGATCTTGTAAACGCCGCGCTTGCTCGGTTTTCCCCTCACAAATTCCGAGTCAGTACACTCCAAGCAGGGGCGCTCGCCAAATCTTTGACGACCATGACGGGCCCCTGCGATAGCGGCCACGCGGTCTCCACGATGGAGAACGCCACAAAGCGGGAGCCGTCGGTAGCTACCGCCGTTGGTTCGGCGAGCGAGGACTCAAGCGTCAAAGGCGACCAGAAGGACTACGACACCGAGAAAGACACTGCGGTGGAGTCTGAAAAGGAGGAAATCGGACCGCTTCAACAGATTCTCAGCACCCGCCAACTAGTTATCTTGATCACAGTGTAACCCTTCTCTCTCAACCCCAGAATTCTTTTGAACAAGCACTTTGGCTAATTCTCACCAGCGTCTGGTTCTACAACTTCACGTTGGGCTTTTCCTCCGGGATTTTCAAAGTCTTGACCCCATATGTCACGAGCGACTTCAGCCAGCATGCTCTCACAGCAACAACGGCGGTTGTGGCCAACGTCACTAGCGGCATCATCAAGCTGCCGTATGCAAAGCTCCTGGACCTCTGGGGAAGGCCCCAGTGCATGGCCTCGATGGTGCTGTTCACGACCGTCAGCGCTGTCATGATGGCCGCTTGCCAGAACGTCGAAACCTACTGCGCAGCACAGGTCTTTTACTACATTGGCTTCTTTGGCATCCAGTTCAGCTTCACCATCCTCATCGCCGATGCCATCCCCATGCGACACCGGGCCTTCGTCATGGGCGTCCTCGCAACCCCGTCGCTCCTGTCGATCTGGGCGTGCGGTCCGGCAGCGGAGAGTGTGCTGGACACCATCGGCTTCAGGTGGGGATTCGGCATCTGGGCGATTCTGATCCCGGTTTGCTCCCTGCCTCTGCTGTACTTGATGTTCAAGTACGACAAGCAGGCGCGGGATGCCGGGCTTATTTCGAGACCGATCCATAAGCAGACTTGGCAGGAGAATTTCATTCACTACTGCAAGGAGTTCGACGTCATCGGACTGCTGCTTCTGGCTTCGGGTCTTTGCTTCTTGTTACTGGCAATCAGCATCTACTCGTACCAGTCCCAAGGCTGGGGTTCGCCGATGATCATCTCCTTCATTGTCATCGGCGTTCTGATGATTGTGGGATTCCTGATGTACGAGAAGTATCTCGCTCCCGTCACATTTCTCCCGTGGCACCTCCTCACGGACCGGACTGTGGTGTTCACCAACTTGCTGGCCGGAACGCTGTATACGTCCGACGGCGTGGTCGCAGCATACATCTACTCCATGCTCATTGTCGAGTTCCACCAGTCGGTCACGAATGCCACCTACATCAACAACATTGAGATGGTTGGCGCCTCCGTCTCGAATCTGCTTCTCGGGGTAGCGTTGCGGTACAACGGCCGCATCAAATACTACGCCCTCCTCCTCGGAGTCCCTCTTTACATCCTCGGCGAAGGCCTCATGGTGGGCCTGCACATCCCCAACCCATCCGTCGGCGTCATGATCTTGTGCCAAATCCTTATCTCGTTCGGCAACGGCGTCATGTATCCGATCGAGCAGCTAACGCTCATGGCCGTGTCGCACGCGCACACTCCCGCTCTGCTGGCAGTGGAGACGACGATCGTGGCGTGCGGCAAGGGGGCGGGCTCTGCCATCGCAACAGCGATATGGACCGGGCTATTCCGGAAGAAGCTGGCGGCGCACCTGCCCTCGTCGGAGCTCACGAAGCTCGACAGTATCTACGGGAGTCTGGAGGTGCAGTCCTCGTACGCGGACGGAAGCGAGGCCAGGATGGCGATCGACCGGGCGTATGGAGAGACGCAGCGGGTCATATTCATTGCTGGAACGTCCATTCTTGCGGCTGCGTGGATTTCGGTGCTGTTCTGGCGGGATATTGACGTCAAGAAGGCCAAGGGCGGTAGGCGCAGCTGATGATTTCCAGTGTCAGATAGAAACCAAAGCACCTGCCATACCGTATCTTCAGCTGTGAAGTTAAGTGGGAGGGACGGTCCTACTCCCGATGAGGCTTTCCTCGGACCTACCTCCTACCTGCCTCGCACCATCTGCGCCTGGGAAGCCGCTCTATCCTACCGTGCCTGCCTGGGTAAGGTACCTTAAGGAGGGCGCATAATCTCTGATTTTTGCTGCACTTCTCCCGCCCTTCTTCTCCCTCCATCGCACATCACAACATCAAACCTACAGCCGACCTCTCCAGTCCTATGAAGCAATCTCCTTGACTCTCTTCCATCGTTTGTGGTATTTTATTTCATCCTCGCCTCTACCCTAGGCCTTCCTTACTGCGTCAATCACCCAGTATTTGCACCTGCCACCACCAACACACGCCATGGCTACAAGTGACAACACGCACCAAGAGCAAGCCGTCGGCGTTGATGGCAGTGCCCATTCCTACAGGTCCTATTCCCACAGCTCAACAGGAACATTGGCCAAGTTCCCGCCGTCATTCTGCGGCTATTCCGTGGAAGGACCAAGGGTACACTGGTGGCGACGCCGACGCGCACAACACTACCTCCTGGGCCTTTCACCAGACAGGCCTTTGTTCAGTGTGCACTTCCACAATGGAACATTTGTTCCCACAACCCACCACTATTGGACCAGCAACTTGAGGGGATCTGACAAATTTAATTTTGACCTCCATGACGGACCTCACGCATACAGCCCTGCAATGGCGATGGTTTCTGGAAGTCTGTGGGGCCCCTTGTTGTTCAAGCTCCCCCCTGCTGGGGATTTACAAGAGTACTATCAAGAAGTCACCAGTCTCAACCGCTTCAAACGAGACCGAGACGGCAACATCAAGTGCTTGCCGTTCAAGATGAACATCAACGGGGTGACGGAGACATTCGAATGGAGAGCGACGAAGGTCAAGGAGCGCAGGGCACGCGATTGGTGGAGACGTCAACCCGCACACGAGCTTGTTCGGATAACAAACCTCAATCCCAGTGCTGGGGGCAAGCGAAGGAACAGACCAGTCAGTCACAGCTCCGACGGCGGCGAGATCGTTGCTGTGTTAAATGCGGGGCCCAAAATTACCTTCTTTAGAACAGGGCTGATGGGCGTTTTCGGGGAGAGGTGGGAAATAATGGTGGCTGTTACTGGATTCACAGTTTGGTTGGTCAAACACTGGGCATACGAATATGCGGCAGCCCGCAGTGCTCAAATAAATGCAAATGCGCAGACGGCTCAGAGAAGCAGTACGCGTTGGGGAGCGTGTGCAAGCTCGAGGCAAACGTATACAGCGCCCAGCTCGTGTACAACGAGCAGCTCGTGGCATCCGTGTACTTCGACGACCACCCATTGTCCTTATTAGGCTGGCGTTAGAATTCAGTCTACCCTAGGTCACCTTTGTATCGTTGAACTTGCTTCCATGCCTCGCAAAAGTGAAAATGACGTGAAAATACAAAAAGAATTGACCAGCCTGGGGGTCGAACCCAGAATCTCCTGATATCACGATAAATCGTAGTCAGACGCCTTGCCATTGGGCCAACCGGCCAGTTGCGGAATTTCTCAGACGAGATGCTCTTGTGTGGCCGTCGTGCAGTGCGGGGCAACACAAGTAGTGTTTGTGCACATCCCGAACGCCGAGTCATGTCCTTCACGCAAAAAAGTGGATGGCATCTTTGTCGTCTCTCCCCGAAGCATCAAGACCAGGCAGCTTTCCACAGACGTTTCGTCTCTGTCATTGTCGTCGTCACGTGGTCATTCACCTCAGAGATGCATCATCATAACGTTTCGTACCATTACTAATTCTAGCCATGAACATTCATAGGGCTCGGCGGCCCTTCTAGCCAAGTTTCGCTTCAGTCATCATCGGCCCATCAGAATCCAACGCGCTCCAACACGAAGGCGAACTTGAAGTCTCCTACATGCACCTTGAGATCTTCACGAACGTTAGGACCACAAGCGGCGGTGCCTACACCGGCAACGCGGGCATCAAGACGCAGGAGGGTGGCGTCCTCCTCAAAGAGATCGCACGGGTGCGCGGCGTTTTGGACAGTCTCGGTCTTGTAGTGGCTGACCTGGAAACTGAACTGGCGCCACTCCTCCTCAGACCAGAGCGCAGCATCAGCCGGGGTGGCGCGGATACCGCGGCCGTAGCCCTCGGTGAGCTTTACATAGCGGGTCTCCAGATGGTTGCCGCCCTCCTGAGGCACCTCGTAGTGCTGGTGCAGCTCCGGAACGGTCGCCTGGTATACGCCGAGGCGCTGACTGGACTTCTTGTCGGGGTATGACTCGCCGGGGCCAAGGGCGAGGTACTTGACGTTGTTAAGAGCCTTGGGCAGGCGGAGGTTGAGACCAACGCGGGGGATGTGCGTAGGCTTGATGCCTCTTGGCTTCAGGTCGACGGCAATGGTAAGACGACCGGCAGCGTCAATAGTATAGGTGGTCACAGTATTCCAGCCCCAATCCAAGATGCGAGGGCTGAGGTATGTAGTTGCAATGATCTCCACCTTCTCAGCAGACTCGTTGATCTTGAGAGAACGCAGAGTGCTGTCGAAGGCGTTGACGCCATAGCGGACCCAGTAGGGTACATCATTGGGCTTGTCATTGTCGGTAGGGGCTCTCCAGAAGTTGGGAGAAATAGCGGCATTAGTGGACGCATCCTTTTCGAGGAGCGGCACTCCGGCGGCAGTCCAAGAGGTAAGGTAGCCGCGGGCTGTGTCAAATGTGAAGGTGAAGTCGGAGCCGGAGATGGTTGCTGTTGAGCGAACTTGCTTGACCTGCAGCTTGGAGCTGAGCGTATCGTGACCGAGTTTGGGAACGAGGGCGACGCCGGACAGCTTGTGCTGAATCCAGGCAATCTCGTGAGCGGGCTCCGCCCAGTTGGTAGAGTCCTTCAGACGGAAGGTGATGGTGATGTAGACCTCCTTGTCAGACTTAATGCTCGAAAGGGAGGACGGCAGATCGACCTTGGCCGTCTCGCCAGCGGCGATCGCGGGAACCTCGAGGTTGCCAGCGGCGAGGAGTGCAGAGCTATGGTCCAATCGTTAGTACTCTGGCTTCGATGCGTTAGGCGTAGGTAGTAGTTGACTTACTTCTCACCCAACTCCTCCACCTTGTAGGAGGCGGAGAGGTGGTCGACGCCAACGTAGTCGTACTTGTTCCAGATGACGAGCTTGTTCTCTTCAACAGAGAGAGAGAGAGGCTGGTAAGCCTTCTTCAGCTCAATCAGACCAGGGGTAGGGTCATGGGTGCTGTGAAGAAGACCATCCATGACGAAGGTTCCGTCGTGAGGACGCTCTCCAAAGTCTCCGCCATATGCGTAGTACTTCTTGCCGTCGGGATCTTCCTTCCAGATGCCGTGGTTGGCCCATTCCCAGATGTAGCCACCCTGGAGACGAGGGAACTTCTCAAAAACCTCAATGTAGTCGTCCAGACCACCAGGGCCGTTGCCCATGGCGTGTCCGTACTCGCACAGAATGACTGGCTTGTCAAACTTGCCGTCTTCTTTGACTTGCTCGGTTGTGACGAGACGCGTCAAGCGGTCAATGGGAGGGTACATGTAAGAGAACATGTCGGCGGTCTCGGCATTGACATCTCCCTCGTAGTGAATCGGACGGCCGGGGTCAAACTTCTTGGCGTAGTGGTACATGACCTTATGGTTCTCGCCGTAGAATGCCTCGTTACCGAGAGACCACATGATGATGCTAGTGTGGTTCTTATCACGCTGAACCAGCTGGACCATACGGTCAAGGTAGGCCTCGCGCCAGACGGGGTTCTCGCTGGTGTACTTGCCAGCCTTGGGGAAGGTGACGGCTTTGCGCTCCTCGTAGTCGGCCTCCTCCTGAACGTCCTGCGGACGAGCGATGCAGTCGTAGAAGCCGTGGCACTCGAGATCGGCCTCGTCCATGACCCACAAACCGAGCTCGTCGGCAAGCTCGAAGAGCTTGGGGTGAGGGGGGTAGTGTGAGCATCGCAGGGAGTTGATGTTGTGAGTCTTCATTAGGAGAAGGTCGCGCTTGGCGTAGTCGAGGGGAACAGCGCGACCGAAGTGGGCATGGTGTTCGTGGCGGTTGGTACCGCGGATGCGGATAGGGGTACCGTTGACAGAGATCAATCCATTCTTGAGCTCGACCTTGCGGAAGCCAATGTTCTGGAAGACTGTATGAGAGGCGAAGGTGATCTCGGCGCGGTAGAGGTAGGGCGTCTCAGCAGTCCACTTCTTGGGGTTTGTGACGGGGATGCTGAGCTCGACCTTGGAGTCGTTGGCGTTGACTTCGGCCTCCTTGGTGACAATCACGGCGCCGCCGTTCTTGCCCAGCTCGCTGAGAGTGAGCTTGACGGTGCCCTTTTCGGCGGCCTTGACGTCAACGGTGGCGAGAAGGGTGGCATTCTCGTACTTGTCGTCAAGGTCGGTGCGAAGGAAGAAGTCTTCGATTCTGGAAGGCTCAGGCACGGCCAAGAGGGTGACATCGCGGAAGATACCTATGCCAATTGGTTAGAGGAAAGAAAGACGACATGGACAAGGGTAAGGGCTCCATACCGGAAAGCCACCACTGGTCCTGGTCCTCGATGTAGGTGGCGTCAGACCATTGGTAGACTCTCACAAAGACCTCGTTGGGGCCATCCCGGTTGAGAATGCTCGTGACGTCGAACTCGGAAGCGTTGCGCGAGCCCTGGGCAAAACCAACGAGGACGCCGTTGACCCAGATGTGATAGGCGCTGTCGACACCGTCGAATCTCAAGCGCAATTGAGACTTCTCGTCCCATGTGGAGGGGACGTGGAAGGTGCGTCTGTATGTGCCGGTGGGGTTCTCACTGGGAACGTAGGGCGGGTCGACGGGAATAGGGAACTGGGTGTTGGTGTACCACGGGTAGTCATGGCCTTGGAGCTGCCAGTGTCCGGGGACGTTGATGGTTTCCCACTTGTCGTCCTTGTCGTCGGGCAACGGGGCCTCGCCAGGAGTGCCAGCGTAGTGGAAGTCCCAAACGCCATTGAGGAGTATGGAGGTCTCAGGAATGAAGTATGCGCGAGGGGGGAGGGTATTGCGACGGAACACCTCAGGGTTTTCGTAGTCGTGGACGCCCTCCTTTGCTTGGAGGGGTAAGCTTTGGGGGGCCATCGTGGCGGTTTCGGAGGAGGGGTAACGATGGCTTGGTAGACGGATTGAACGGCCAAGGGCGTGTCAGAGAGGAAGGACGACGACGACGACAAAGACGAAGACGACGATGGAGACGACGATGAAGACGACGGCCAAGGACGAAGAAGAGAGAGACAAACAAAGGAGGAGGAGGAGGAGGAGGAGGAGGAGGAGGGAGAGGGCAGACAAGTCGACCGGCAGCCCACGGTCGTAGGGTTATTTATTCACGCTCAAAGCTCCACGCGAAGTAACGTGTCTGGGGAAAGGGACTGCTATCCATCCAATCTGCAAGTTTGCTCTCGTGAAGCAGCATTGTCCCGCCATAGGTACCTTAAGGTAAGGTATGACGAGTGAACGTGGGGCAACTGCAGGCCGGTGCAGAGTGAGGTCCACGGGTGCTTCTTGCAAGTTGCTGCCCCTCTCTGCTCTGTTCGGGGTAGCTCCGAGTCAGGCGGCAGGCGGGTGGGTGGTCGGTGTAACGAGGGAAACTACCCCGAGAGAGATACCTCTTCGCAGACATGCAGTGGAGGTTTTCGCTTTACCCCTCCACCCCTCGTCGGAGAAGGTCCGCACCAAGTTACCAACCTAGAGTCCAAGGCCACAAGGGGCATAGCTTCCCCGGTCCGGGGGTGGTGGGCACTCAGTAGGTGAGTTCGGGGAAGTCGGGGCCGGCCCCGCACCTTCGCAGCAGAGGACCACTGGACCTCGGGGGCTAACACCGCTGCAACATCTGCCACACACACACAGTCACACCCCCGACTCCCCAACCATCCATCTCACTCCCTTCCCCTGTCCCTTACCCTCCAACCCTCCGTCCATCCCATTCTGCAGACCCTGTTCGTCTAGTCTGATGTTCCAACGGACGGAAAGTTCTTTTGTCTTTTTACCCCAGATCGAATTCCGTCTAGACCCCCGGCTAATGTGGGCCGAGAACTGCAAGCGCACCCGTGTTGTCGGGCTGATGGTCGGCCGTGACTCTTGACACCCCAGGTTTTCTTCTTTTTTTGTGACCTTCTTCGAATGATCTGATGGCCCGAATGCGGGGAGAGCTTGTGTCTTGAACAGGCTGGGGTTGGTCGTCGCAGCATTTAAGAGGGCCATGTTATCGCCCTCTCCATCCTTCGTCTCCATCGATGGAACCCATCCAAGACTCGATCTCTCCACGTCTCTCCACGTCTCTCCACTGTTCCTGACCACTTGGTCCACTTGGTGTGAGCCCGTGTTGGTCTGCCTACGCATAGATTGGTACTTGGTATTATCTTGCATCTCAACCCACAATGTCCGCCGAGAAGTCCGACATGGCGGCCGGCGAACACGTCGCCGAGAGGCCCGGCCCGGCCGGTACTTCGCCAGAGGTCCATGTCGATGCCGCCGTCCAGATCGCCCACGAGTCCCAGGAAGGCCAGTACTC